TCTAACATTCTGTGATTCTGTGATTCTCACATTCCAAGACTGAAAACCAGAAAACACCAGAGTCTCACAAAACAAACTCACCTCTGTTTAACACCATATTCTACCTATGTTATCAACATGGTATACAATACACAGAATACAGGTTTAGGTCTACTTGGAAACTCTACCTTTGAATACTCTGATTTTATGCAAACAAAAAAAGCTACAGGACATGCATAGAACTGAACATACATTACCTGGGAATCCATGACAGATTCACTAAGGATAGAAAGCTGAGTGGGAGGGTCACATTTTTGTACAACGGGTCCTTGAGATGATTCTATGTCACAGTTAGGAGCCATTGTTACATTAGGGAAACCTAGAGGAATCAGACAAAACAGGGAAGAACACAGAAGACTCCATCTCATTATGTCGCAGGACTTTGCATCAAAAAGCAACTTCCCATACTTTGCACAAAAAGGGTCACAGGGGTGTCCATTTCTTTAAACAACTGCCAAAGGCCAACCATAGAGTTATCTTAATACATTCAGCCATTTACCTGGCTTTTGTTCTTCTTACCTGCGTAAATACACTTGTGCAGAAGACGAACATAGGACGAAAAAGTCATTATAAGCCAAAGAGAATGGCAGCCTTCTGAGAAAATAATCTAAGCTTAAGACTTGACATGCAAACTGCCAATCCTGCCTTCCAGCAGCATTAAGGACGCACAAACCAGGATAAGAAAAGGAAAAGCCTTGTTCACAAATTGCTGGTAAGTCTTCAGCAATATCCAAAAGTAAGCATTCAATCCACGTAGCAATGAGAATCAGAAGTACTACAGTGGCTCAAACTGGTACTCTGCATAGGCTGGCAGCTAGGCTGTGGAAATCGTGTGTGTGAGATGATACACAGGAAGTGACAGGAAATTCCACAATGGATCAATACAGTAGAATAACTGGCCATGGCTCACGCTCCCCTGCCATGGGAGGGGTTATCCTCATCTGTGTTTCATCTAGCAGGAACAGGATCAATCATACTATGTTATATGATCAGATGAAAACAATTAAAAAGAATCCTTCACAAAGCAAGACTACTTATGACACGTAAGGAGATAATCTTAAATGTACTACCCAATATAAATGAGATGGTCTACCTGTTCGCGTGCGAGGAGCATCCCCAAGCAAGTCTTTTGCCACAGCCATAGCCTGGTCAGATCGTTCCAATACATCTTGCAAATGGTATTGATCAGACAGAATCTGAAAGCATAGCGTATAAGGAAGTATTTCATACTGAGCAGACTGATTTTTCCTTTGGTTTTTTTGGTACTGTTCTTCTAAACACTTAGCAAGAGAACAGCCAGCAAGACAATGTTTGCAAAGTTGGTACTGTGCAATTAGATCCTAATTCAGATGGACCAGAAAACCATACTCTATTCTGAGTAACTAGAATTCACCTTGTTTTTCTGAAAAATTAAAGTTACTTCAGGGCCCCCATCACCATTGACTCTCTCTTTAGAGCCAGTCCTCCCACTCCTTTCTTCTGCTTCCACCCTGACACAAGCAAGAAGCTGGATGTTTATGACACACTTTTCTGCATCTGACAGACACCCAAAAACTGCACTATTTGATTAGATCCAAACCAATTCAGACAGACTTGTTTCATTTAGCCTTGACTACTGAAAATCCTGACTAAAAATTAAGCCTCCTACTGCCATAAAAGTTTCAACAGACCTAAACACAGCTGACTACACCTGCCATCAGAAGACATTTTGGGAATCTCCACACACTTCTCACACGGCACAGCTTCTGTCTTCAAGGTCTCCCTCCCCTGGTATCTGAAGTCCATCACTGGCACCACAACAGCTGCCTCCTAAGGAGAGAGGTCTTGGAGTGCAAAGCAAGAGGCATTCAGCTACCGGGAGATGAATGGAGCTGGCTGGGGACATGGCTCCCATGGGCAGAACGCAATTCAGAACTCCTCACTGACTTGTGGTTTCATTCACAAAGCTGGAAATGGCAAACTAGTAAAATTATATCTTGCAACCTGGGAAGAAGGTAGTTAAACACTCGAGAGGAGATCATGAATGTAAGTGACCTCCACTTCATCATGGTTAATTAAATTTAGCCAGAGAGACTCAAAGTACTTTAGAAGATCCCACAGAAAAGACAGGCTCGTGTATGCCCTCCTAAACAAAATTTGAGAACTGAGTGACAATTTTTGTTCCCCCAGGAATTGTAAGAGGGACTGGTTTGCAGCGGTTTAAGAGCACTACATGCTGTTATCTCCACAGACTTTCTTTCAGCATCCATCGATCAGCTTGCTGGTTCATTCAAAAAATTCTAGGCAGCGGCATTTCACCTCGTTTGCCTCCCCCCACCATTTTTCTATGTTTTGTTACGTGACTAAGTTTCCCCATATACCTAGTTTCCACATCTTTCTAGTTTTTTGAGCTTGAATTACACTGCAACTTGTTACACTTCTCCTCATAACCAATTTAGCAAATCAGTAAATATTCATCATTCAATCATCTCACATACCTACTTTTCCAAATCACTATTCAGTTTTCACACTTGACACTAACTAAATCTAGTCTTTCCATTTAGCCATCTCATATCAAAACAATGCAGGTTTTTAGACAAAGTTACACCAGATCTGCAGAAGAAAAAAAAAAAACCACAAAAACAGAAAAAAGGAAAAAATAGTTTACCTGTCCCAAAACATGATTCCTTACTCTAAGGCAACTAAAACTAAGGTGACATGTTTAATCAGACAAAAATTATACTGATTTACCCTCCCTACTAAATCTCTTTCAGCATCAGCAGGTTCCTAAGCTTCACCCTCCTGCTGAGGATGTTATGAGTTTTTAGAGTACTGCTCCCACGGTAGATTGGCTCACACATGCTTATGATCAGCAGAAAACAAAGTGATATCAGCTTCTAACCCTTTTAGGCCTTCTTACATGCCCTCAACAAATTAACTGAGTGCTGTACCTTGTCCCAGTTTAGTATCATCTAAGAATTTCACTGAAATTCATTTTTCCTCCTGTTTCAGATTGTTAATACAGACAATTAAATGTGACTAATCCTAAAACCTCCCCATTCCCCTCCAGTGCAATATACTAACATTATTTTAAAAGTAAGTTGTTATAGGACCAATCAGGGTGGTACCAACACATTCAAAATCCAGTTACAAAGACAAACTCATTTATTTTTTAATTCAGATTTTTAGGCAGACAAATCGCTGAAAGATTAAAATTTTGCTTATTCTTTTTATAACTTTTGTTCTCTCCAGCCTACAACTACAAGAAAAAACACACTAGTAGCAGCATCTTCCTAGTTTTTACCTCTGAGTATTTTGCATTTGAGTAGGAGTTAAAGGGCTTGGCTGCTACAGTCACAGCACAAAAGGAAAAAAAGATCACCAAGGTAACAGAGACAAGATGACAATCCATAGTGGTGGTTGTGCTCTACTGGGAGACTCAAACTGAAGAGAATAGGTGAAAATGGTGTTTTTCAGTTTTCTGTTTCCATTTCTGCATGGAAGTCTTATTGAAACTAGCCTGCTATTACATTAGGAAAATTAGTATAAAGGTCCACAGCTTTTTTGAATACTTGGCTAAAATGCACTTAACAGAAAAGTATGAAAGTAACCAAGGTCAAAATTAGAGACTTGATTACCACAATATGCTTAACACAAAAATTCTATGGTGACTGCAGAGGAACAGGTGTCAAACAGGAAAGCAGAAGGTGGTCTTTGATTCTAAGTACTTCCACTTGTTTCTGTCTATGTTTGAATGTTCTCAGAGATCACAGAAAGACTTCTAAAAATTTACAAAAGATGAAAGAGAGAAAGTCTGTGATGGTTAATCCACTGCACATTTACATTACTACTACATCATGTTTAACTGCTAAGTGAATATTGTTCATCATCATTCTTTACCAACAAGAATAATTCTCAGCTCGTCCAAGTGCTGATGAGGTCTGAAAGCTAACAACCATGGTTTGAGATTAGTTTTCATAACATATGGCAAGGAGTTGCCTGCCATGTGAAACAAAAGGATGTCTACCACTGAAATCCCTTTTCAGACAGTGACAGCTACTGTCTCTGTTAGCTAAGCTTAGGTTTGACTGCTATGGTGAAAAAAATCAAAAGCAAATTAAACAATATTAATATTTTCAGTCAGAGTGCTTCAGAACGCCTAGAGGATAAGCTTTCTGATCCCCAGATGACAATCTTGTCTGCTAGCAGCCACAGCTCCTCAAGCTTTGTTGTGTCAATCTTGCTTCCAGACAAGCTCTTCCTTAGCAATTTCTTGCCTCACCCTTTCTGCCCTTATGACTCTGCATTTTCTCTGTTTTAAATACGCAATGGCAGATAAGAGTGTCCCTCCTTGAAAGAGAATGTTCACGTTTCCATCAAAGAAAAACACTAGACAGAGGACAGAAAAGGCAAGACAGCAGTGAGAACATAAAGAACATACACCCTTTTCACAACACACAGTTTAACTCCACAAACAGTTCCTCTTCAGATGCAGAGAGGCCTGCTAAGTTACAGAGGGTGTAGCCAGGCAACAAGGATCAAATGAGCAACTGTATTATAGTTTATATGTTTATATGTTATACTGCCTATTCCAATCATTGCAGGCACTGTACTGACATACAAAGTCAAATTATCCAACAAAAGGAGCAAATGTTGACCTATGAGCAAGAGGAGTTTTCCACTACTGCTGCAAGTCATCTGCAGCCAACTGAAAGCGTAGATTTATCTCTCACCTCACGCATCAGAGTCAATTTCCTTTTCTCCAAGGAATCAGCAGCCAGTTGTTTTTGCTTCTTCCATTTTTTTTTCAGTGCTTTCTCTTGCAGTTCCAGATGTGCCAGTGCTTTGTTTTTTGATTTGTGCATTTCATGGCGACGCAGCTACATAAATATGAAAGACACCATTTCAAAATCAAGGGACAAACTTGAACACAATTTGCAGGGTAATGCTAACAAGCTCTTCTTGAAGTTATCATCCATGCACTGAATACTATTTAAGTTCACTTCCTGATAGTACCAATGACAGCCTCACAAACATTCAGAAGTGTAAAATGCCATCAATGCCAGCCAAATTTAAAGCAGCTCCAAAGGTGAAGGGGGAAAGTCTCACAATTTCCATCTGCCCTACACCACTGCCTCAGTATGAGCTTTCTCATCTGTAAAGGGAGGGAAAAAACAAATACTACCACCCATAATATGCATAAAAAGACATCATGCATTTTCCTGATCTAACACTAATGTCAATCACCAGAGATATTCTCTCTCTTCTTTGACCAATTTTAGAGAGAGAAACATATAGATTTAATTTAAAGACAAATTAAACAAACTAAATGCGTGAGGTGCTCACTGAAGTTTCTGAAAGCTATCAAGTCAACCAGTTACAGAATCAAGTCTCTCTGCTATTGTGCCCAGCTGTCCAGATGAACCTGTCAAAATTCATAAGCAACAATAGCTCATACTGCTTTTTCCATCCTGGTAATCAGTGCTACCAATGAAAATGAAATGGAAGTCCCATATTTTGTAACAAACAGCTCATTCAGTATAAGGAAATGATGTTAAATTGTTTAAATTAAAATTGACTATCCTCAGAACTAGAGAGATTCCTAAAATAAAGTACGCCTTTCAGTCCTTCCAGCAGAGATGAGATTTAACTTCAACTACTCCACTGAGCTTTTATGTATTTATGTTTGCTTTTACGATGGTATGCAGTTTATTGAAATAAGAACTACGGCTACTGCTTCTCAATGGAAACAGAAAACTGAAAAACACCAACTGCCAGAGCTGGGGATGCATATCACAAAGAAAGAACTAACACTAAAGATATTTTCAGAACCTTAAAAAGGGAAATTAAACATCGGCAGAAAATATCCCCATAAACATGGCAAACACTTTTGCTAGAAAACCAGCTAAATATCCTTGCTACAGAGAAGGAGCAGTGATTGCTAGTAAACTTACAATATCCTCAGGAGTTGCACGGTGGACTGTCAAATCATGGACGGTACTCTGCAAACAGGAATCAGAGAACACATCAAAAGCCAGAACTGAGGACAAACTGGATTTCTGCTTTCAAGTTCCACTCAAAAACCCTTTAAATTACAACACAATTAGCATAAACCTACACAGTGGTGCATTTTTATGGCACTGTACGGCAATGACACCCCTACCCTCAGCCCAAAGAGGCCGAACCTCAAGCAGTCCCAGGGAAGCGAGAGGGGTCGCACCCACGCCGCACACCCCGTCACGGTGCCCTCTCCCCGCCCAAATCCACACACAAACCGCGCATCTCCACGCGTGAGCGCCCACAGAGGACGCTGACCGCTAGAGGCTCCCCCC